GACCCTAACCTCAACCCTAAACCCTAGTACTATGACCTTCCATCTGAAGCTCTGAGCATCCTAAACCCTAAACCCTGAACCCTAAGCCCTGGACCCTAAACCCTGAACCCTAAACCCTAAGATCTAAACCTTGAACTCGAAGCCCTGAACCCTAAACCCTAAAACCCTAAGCGCTGAGCCCTAAACCCTAAGCCCTGAACCCTAAACCCTAAACCCTCAATCCTCAGCCCTGAACCCTAAGCCCTAAAAACCCTAAACCCTGAAACCCTAAACTCGAAATTCCCTGAACCCTAAACCCTAAACCCTAAACCCTAAACCCTAAACCCTAAACCCTAAACCCTAAACCCTAAACCCTAAACCCTAAACCCCTAGACCCCTAAACCCCCTCAGGTCGTGATCATCAAAAGGGAGAAGATCACAGGCTGCTCTTGGTCTCCGGGCTCCTTCAACTCGAAGCTGGAGGAGGCCCTCGTCCAGGAGCGCTCGTGGGGCTTCTCAAAGAGGGCGTAGGGGGCTTAGGGGTTTAGGGCTTAGGGCTTGGGGTTTAGGGGTTTAGGGTTTAGGGGTTTAGGGCGGTTTAGGGCTTGGGGTTTAGGGGTCCAGTGCTTAGGCTTTATGCTTTTGGGGTGGTGTTCTTCCCTTTTTTTTGGTGCAAGGGGCGGAGGGTGGCGGGTGGCTTAGGGTTCTGTAGAGTTCTGTTTGTGCAAAAAAAGCCTAAACCCTTGACCCTGAACCCCTCAACTTCCTACAACCCAAAACCCTGGAACACTAAACATGCAAGCTATACCCCGAAGCGCGAAAAGTCCCCCCCACAAGCAGCCTGCCTCAAAAGATGGAGGAGCATACTTGGAGGGCCAGGGGACTTAGTAAGTAGGTTATAAGTACCCTAAATGGAGTTATCCCAACTATAACCCTAATTATAACCCCGGACCTCCAAGTAGGATCAAGGTCAGCTTGCTTTGGAAGGGCTCCTCTCGGGATCTGCCCAACCCTCAACTCCCTCAGCCCTGAACCCTAAACCCTAAACCCTAAACCCTAAACCCTAAACCCTAAACTCTAAACCCTCAACAGCGAAGGCCCTGAACCCAGAAGGCCCTACACCCAAGACCCTTATCAAGACCCTAAAACCGCAAAACAGCCTTCTAAACCCTAAACCCTAAGCCCTAAACCCTAAACCCTTTTGGAGCCCTTCTTGTTCGAACTGCAGGCCGAGTCACGGTGCGTTGCGAACCAGCGGCGCCCTCCTTGGGGCTGTCGGTGGTTCGAGGCCAGCTGGGCGCTTAACTTTTTTCGAAGGAGGTTGCTGTTATTTTTCAATGAGAGGGTTTAGTTTTTTTTTTTGAGGGTTTTAGGGTTTAGGCTTCTTTTTTTGGGTTTAGGGTTTGGGGTTCGTTTTGTGATTAGTGTGCTATGGCTTTTGTTGTAGTTGTAGTATGTTTGCGAATATGATTATGAAGATGAGGACGATAGTGGCTTTTGTTTTCGTTGTTACATGTTCACAAATACAACAGCTCCATCGGTGTACATAAATACACCGCGACATAAAAAAAACTAGAAAGGGATGGATGCATAGACCGATTGATGGACACATTCCGACATGCTTCTTAATGTTTTTGCTTTTTGGGAGAGAAGGGCTGGAGGCTCAGGGTTCAGAAAGTAAGCAGACAGAGAAGATCTAAACACAAGTAGCATTGACGCCAGCCACGATACTGTCATCAGTTTGGTATTTGTTCAGCTCTCCGGTGTAATAATCATCGCCGCCGCCGTTGCCATCGTCGCCGTCATCTTCGTAATGACCCGCATCTGCGTAATGATGGGGCTCATCTCGTAGCTGGAGGTGGGTTTCTGCATCTTGCTTGAGTGTACCCCTCTCATCGCTGTTGTCGCGATCATGATGATTCTCGTGATGACGTTTGTCAGTCGTGTCTGTGGCTTTGAAAGTGTATGTAGATGCATGTAGTAGGAGGTACCCCCCTAGCAACTTCACTTGCTCAAAACCATCTTAAGAGCACATCCGCTTTACCGTATTTACAGTACCCCTAAACCCTGAACCCTAAACCCTAAACCCTAAACCCTAAACCTTTTGGGTTTAGGGTTTAGGGTTTAGGGTTTAGGGTTTGGTGCCTCAAGTCACCGACTCGAGCTTCCAGAACCCTGGTTTGACAAGCGAAGTTGGGTAGGGGGGTGGGTGGTGGTAGCGGTGGTAGTAGTAGTAGTAGTAGTAGTAGTAGTAGTAGTAGTGGTAGTAGTAGTAGGCGCCCCCCCCCTACCAACTACACTTGCTTAAAACCATCTTAAGAGCACATCCGGTTTACTCGGTATTTACAGCACTTTC